GAGCCATCAGCCCAGAGCCCGACGCGGGGCTCGAACTCACGGACCGTGAGATCGTGACCTGGCTGAAGTCAGACGCTTAACCAACTGCGCCACCCAGGCGCCCCATGAAACTTTAAAAATTAAAAAGCAATTTTAATGTTATAGCATTCATTTTTTGCAAGAGAGAGAGGGAGACACAGAATCTGAAGCAGACTCCAGGCTCCGAGCTGTCAGCACACAGCCCAACTCAGGGGCTCGAACTCACAGATCGTGAGATCATGACCTGAGCCAAAGCCGGGCACCCAATCCACTGAGCCACCCTGGCGCCCCTAAATTTTTTTTAATATTTATTTTGAGAGAGAGAGAGAGAGAGCTTATGAGTGGGGTAAGGGCGGAGAGAGAGAAAGAGAGAGAATCCCAAGCAGGCTCCATGCTGTCAGCACAGAACCTGACATGGGGCTTGAACTCACAAACTGCAAGATGGTGAGCTGAGCTGAAATCAGGAGTCGACGCTTAACCAACTGAAGCACCCAGGCACCCTTTAAATTGTTTAGTTTTAAGTAAGTTCCACTACCAACGTGGGACTTGAACTCAAGACCCTGAGATCAAGAGCTCTACTGAGACAGTTTTTATTTATTTATTTACTTACTTATTTATTTATTTACTTATTTATTTCGAGAGAGAGAGAGTGAGCACAGTGGAGGAGCAGAGAGAAAGAATCCCAAGCAGGGCTCGAACTCACAAACCATGAGATCATGATCTGAGCTGAAATTGAGTCAGATGCTTAACCGATTGAGCCATTCAGATGCCCCAAATTTAAGTGAAATCTTTTTTCAAAGTAAACAACTATATATATATGTATATATACATACATATATGTATGTATATATATGCATGTATATATGTATATATACACATACATGAGGCCTGGACAGCCATGTGGTCTCAGGCACATGTATATACATGTATATATAGGAAGGGTATATACATGTATATATGTACACATATTTTTTAAAATTACTTTTTATTGTTTCTTTTAATTTAATTACAAATTTGTTATATACACTGTGGTCTTGGCTTCAGGAGTAGAGCCCAGGGATTATCTCTCACATAGGACACCCAGTGCTCATCCCAACAAGTGCCCGCCTCAATGCCCATCATTCATTTTCCCCACACCCATCAACCGTCGGTTCTCTGTATTTAAGAGTCTCTTATGGTTTGCCTCCCTCTCTGTTTTCATTTTATTTTTCCTTCCCTTCCCCTACGTTCACCTGTTGTGTTTCTTAAATTCCACACGAGCGTGCTCGCTTCGGCAGCACATATACTTAAATTCCACACGAGGGAAATCATGATATCTGTCTTTCTCTGATGGACTTATTTCACGTAGCGTAATACACTCCAGTTCCATCCACGTTGATGCATTAAGATTTTATTTTTAAGTGATCTCTGCACCCAACGTGGGGCTCAAACTCACAACCCCAAGATCAAGAGTCACGTGCTCTTCCGACTGAGCCTGCCGGGCGCCCCAAATCTGGGTGTATTTGTGATGTAGAACTGACACGAATTCCCGATGGACTGGACGTGAAAACTGAGGGAAACGGAGGCATACCAGGTTTTGGGCCTTAGCAACTGGGCATTGGGGGTGCCTTTCCGTGAGGTGGGGGGGGCGCTCTGGAGGAGAGGTTGAGGGGGTGGTTGAACTTGCAAGTCTGGAGTCCAGGGGAAAAGCCAGGGCTGCAGATACGGATTTGGGATTTGGGAGTTGTTAGCACATTGGTGGTATTTACAGGCATGGGCTGGGCTGAAGTCAGGTAAGGAGGCATGGAGATGAGGAGATAAGGGCCCAGGCCAAGCCCCAGGACACTGAGAGGAGTCAGCATCCAGTCTGGGGACTCTGGAAGTGCTGAGCACTGGTCACCACCAGCTCTGCACACCCCTGCTTCCTAGAAGATTAGTCTCTCTTGAGATACAGGGACACAAAGCAGGAATGAACGGAGGTTCAGCTCTGCTGGGTCCTTGTGGTGACCAAAGGGAACCTGGCTGTCACATCCCCTGAGTAGCTGGGGCCCTCCTCTTTAACAGCCCAGTGATGAGTTCTCTGGTCGTTTGAGATCTGGGGCTCAAGCAATTGGCAGTCTCTACCCTCGCCCCAGCTCCAGTTTCAAAGCCCTCACCATCTCCTCAGCTAAAATGGGTAAGAGAGCACATGGCCCGAGGGGGGCCGGACAGCCGTGTGGTCTCATGGAAAGATAGGACCACTGAGTCCCAGGAGTGAGCAGGTGCTGTGAGGGATGAGCCAGACCTGAGCCTACCTTGTCCTCAGGTGCTCCAGGGTGGTCAGCCGACCTACACCACCCCGCCTGCCTTCCCAGAGCCTCACGCTGATGCCCCAGCGGTATGGAGACCTCTTCTGGGAGAGCCTTAGCCAAAGGCCCAGGTGGGTAGAAACAGAGCAAAGGAGCAGGGAAGGGAAGGCCGGACAATTTTAAACTAAGCCCTGTGGCAGTGAGCCCTAGTCTGGGGACAGCTGGCCCACTGGCTGACGGACGCTGGGGCAACTACTGCCAGATAGACAGGTGGTTGGGACGGGCCGTCAGAGAAGCAATACGGATGGGGGTGTCCTCTCTGCACGTAGCTCCCCGTTTGTGCTTTACAGCCCCACCTGGACGGAAGAATGGCACATCCCTCCCTCACCGGTAGGACAAACTCTGCCCTTTTAAAGCACTTTTGGGTTAAAATCGCACCCACCACCGTCTTATCCTCAGCCCTCCTGGTCACCTCTTCCCTGCTGCCCCCCAGCCAGTGCACTGACCACGCACCCTCCTTTCTATGCATCTGTCACCATGTTTTCCAGATCACACCTGTGTTGTCACGATCTGGGCTCCCCAAGACCTCTGACTCCCTACTTCAGTCCAAGTTCTCCTGAGAGACCCAGTTCTGCCCTCTAGCCCCTGCCCCCACCCCATTCTCTGGCACAGAGAGCCACTGGTTGCTCCCAGCCTGGCCTGTACCCCCTTGAGAGGCTCCCACCCCCTGAGGTGCTTTGCAGAAGAAAGAGAAGGAGGCCACATTTGGCGGGAATGCAGCAGGGACCTGCGGGCATCCCAGCCCAGGTGAGGGCTGTCACTTATCACCTGGAGGATCTAAGGAGGCGACAGAGAATCATCAATGAGTAAGGAGGGACATCTGGGCAGAGTCTGGGGACAGGAGGGTCTGAACTAAGGAAGGGGGTGGAGGCTTTGAAGGAAGTGGCGGCTGTATGGGAAGAAGGCCCGGACTTGGTGCAGAACGTCCCCCATGTGGAAGGGAGGAGGGAGCTGAGCACGCAGGCTGAGCCTCAGGAGCTGGACAAGGTGGAAACTGGGTCACCG